GAGCGGCGCAAACAGCATACATCTAGTACGATTTGGGAGTGTGTGGAAGAACTGGACGAATGAGAGAGTGTTTTCTAAATGGTTACCTGAAACTTTGGGGCATGACATATGTATCGGATTGTCGTCCAGTGGTTGAGTGACTCGTAGATACGAACCCGAAGTCCGATTCCAGATAACGAGAAGTCGGTAATCTACGTGTACAATAAGCAGGCAAATATGTACATAAACAAGCACCATACCTCAAATCGTGGGCCAATCCGGTCTCCACGGTAAATGAACAAGATACAAAGCGGGTGAAGGCGCCGAACAAAGCACCTGCGGAGCGGTCACCAAAAGGAATGCAAACTAGGCACAGAAACGGGACAATTTAAGGGATAAAATTACTAATCGCAAGTGCTCGATAATGAAGCTCAGTCATTGGTCAATGCAAGGCACACAAACGGTTCACGGGATCCTATGAAACAAAGCAATCCGCTAAGCAAATGAAGCGAATGATCAAATATGAAGGTCAACATAAAGAGGACGGGATGACAATGAGCTAGAACCGAACGTGGATGGGGGAACGGATCCGAGGTAGTTCGTATGTAATGATGCACGAGAATGGCAAGCGTGGAACAGCGAGAGTTGAATGACGATAAGGGTAAATGACGCACAAATGGGATGAGGAACGCTTAGAGGCGGTATTCGAACAATAACAACAAAGTACAAAGTATGTCGTCGGACCAGATCGGGGCATGATGATGGGCAAAGTACATTCAAAGGTCATCCGTGTAATGGGTCACATGGGTGCACAGTTAATCGAACCGAACCGGAGCAAAACCTGTGGAGTGATTAATTTTTCCAATTAAGTCGATACAACATACTTTCTGGTAGCCCACACCGACAAAGGGGTTCTTCTTTTGCAACCCTGACCAAGACCTTTGATTCAAACGTGTGACCCACTAGGCGATGGGGTGTAGGTCTAACGCGGGAGCGTGGCCGAGGCACCCGTGTGGGAGCTTCTAGAAGTAAACACTACATCTTCGGGCATCATCTTGAACCGTACGTGGATGCTTATCCGGTGAACCGCTGCTTGCAGTTGACCATGTAAGGCGGCCTTTTTCCTATCCTGTATCTGTAGACATTGCTTGGTAATTATATGACCATCAGACCCAATAGCACTAAGCCCGGGTATCAGATGAAAAACATTGGCGAATACATTTAACATTTACGAAAACTGTGATACCAAATAATACCGAGGAACGGAATACGTGATATCACGCGGTGTTTAATGTTACATGGCTCATCAGTCTGTATCCTAACATAAAATAATTTCTTCATTTGCATGCCTCCCTAAGATATACTCGTCGTTATCGGCTATGAATGTAACGGCTCCTTCTTATTACTTGAATGATACCGTTACCCTTGATCTTTTTTTTTATTACACACCCATGTGTGATGAACAGCAGACGGGGCGAACCCCATAGTCACAAAGATTTGCTGTTCAGTGATGGAAACCGGCAACCTAAGCCCCGGGGCGTGGAGTGGCCAACCACATAAGGCCGCGATAGGTTAGGCGTGGTATTGAACCGGACGACAACAGAGCTGCCTGCCACCAAAGTCGGGTGGTGGTGGCGCGGCTTAAACCTCGGACCATAGGGTCCAAAGCCCGCTGGTGACAGCGACCAAATCACTGCGCCACCACCACCCACACAAGAAAAAGGATTTGAATGCTTCCGACCGTT